ATTCATGATTTTCAAGGGAATAAACTTAGTCAATTTAGAAGTTTTGAAGTTTTCCTAGAATGGAAGCTTCTAAAAAAGGATTTTATTATTATTTTTTTTTTTTATGGATTTTCTAACAATAGAAGTTTTGTAATGTAAGAATTCCTTGAAATATATGATTCGTAAAGTGGAATGTTCTTCAAAGTTTCTGAAAATAAGTTTTATAAAGATGGAGTTGTAATATTGTTTTTCATTCTATTATTTGCTCAAAATAATAACTATAACTTAAAAATTATTTATTTATTTATTTATTTAATAATATTTTTTTTGGTGAAAAGTGACCGCACGTCACTGTTCATTGACGTGAACAGTATTTTTTTTTTCCAAGTCTATAGAATCGATTTTATGGTGTGTTTGATAGGAGTGGAATTCCATGGAAAATGGAATTGAAATTCTAACTTTCCAATTTTTGGGTGTTTGATTGGCAAAAATTTTCAATGAATTCATTTTTCACATTTTGGTGTCACATAGACTTTTTCCATCTTTTGAAGGAAAATGAATTCTCACCAAAATAGTGAGAATTCAATTCGAGTTTACTGTAGCGACTTTTTTTTTTTTTTTTTGTTAGCAATGGAAAAAAATTCAAAAAATTTTTTTAAAAAAAAAAATTTCCTTTTAATTGGCAATTTTCATGTAAAACGAAGACAAACGAATAACAAAAAATAGATGATTTTTTTGAATTTTTTTGTTGGCAATGGAAATAAATTTCATACCTAATACCAGTAAATTGTATTATTTTAATTGACAATTTTCATATAAAATAAAGTCAAAGGAACATCAAAAAACACTTATTTCGACATTTTTCACGTGAAAAATTATGCAAATCAAATAAAATAATTTACAATTTTCAAGAAAATAATTTCTAAACAATTCAAGTCAATTACATCTTTGTAATCAAACGGACATTTATTTCCTCTCTTTCAGCATTTTTTATCCAATTTTCTTTTAAAAATTTATCTGAAATATATTCTACAACTTTTTTATACATTGTTTATGTGATTTTATTATTTCTGTTTGTACATTTCTTTTTATTAATATTTTTGTATCATTATTTATTCATTCCCACCAATTTCTCACATTTCTTTCAAAGAATGATAAATTTTGAAATCATACAACTTGCATAAAGGACATACGAAACTATACCGAACTTAGGTGGTATAAGTTTTACGTGTGTACCACTACTAGAACTCCGATTCGAAACTTAGAACATACATATGGACCCATAAACATATTTTTCCAAAAGTGCAGTACAACAACACATATATACTTACTATTGTGTGGGGAAAAATAAAGGCAATCAAAGAAATTGGCTTGCTTGGTTTCCACTCCAATATTTTCTTGGATAGCGTAAGTACTAAAGATTTTTGTAATGTGAAATATGTTTGTGTGTAAGACGGGTTGTGAGAGAAAAGAGAAAATGTGAGGTGTGAATTTCTTGAAAATCATGCACGTATTTTTATTATACTAATGATGCATAGGATAAATCTCATAATTTATTTAAATAAATTTAAATACTTAAAGATAATCTTAATATCCAACAAAATTTGTGATAATGTTGAATAATCATAATATCCAACAAAATTTGTGATAACGTTGAATAATAAAAAATAATCATAATATCCAACATAATTGGTGATAATGTTGAATAATTAAAAATAATCATAATATCTAATAGAATTTGTGATAATATTGAATATTTAAAAATAACCATAATATCTAATAAAATTTGGATAATGTTGAATATTTAAAAATAATCATGGTATCTAACAGAATCTGTGATAATGTTTAATAATTAAAAATAATCATAATATCTTAAAGATTCTATCACTTTGATATTCAAATATTTGTACTTAATCCCCAAATATTAGACATTAATCAATTAGGTCCCTAAACTATACTATCTACGTGATAAGGCCCTAAATTTTAATATAATGACTAATTTTGAGTATTTTAATAATTCATTTGGTATTTTATCTATTATGTTTTTGTCAAACTAGGTTTTTAAGAGTAATAATAATATTCATAATCAACGGCTACAGTAGTCAACATATGTGACAACTTATTATTTGATGCATTAGTTTATTTTTTGAGATAACAAAATTTAAAAAAAAAATTAAATGCTCAAATAACAAACTGTCATATATGATGACTACTACAATCGCTAACTATGAATAGCATGAGGTTGTTATTGTACAAATAGTCATTTAATGAGGAATGTTGTAAAACTATGAGATAATTATTGATGTTTGTATGCTCTAATCAGAATACTTAGATAAGCTCTATCTACTTGTAGAATAATCTATTCTACTCTAATTGTAACTTTCATTTTCAACCTTATGAATACGGGACCTTGATTTTCAATAAAATACACACTTGAGTATTGACTCTCTACTTTTCTCTCTCTATTTTATAATTCTCTCTCCTTCTTTTGGTTTTATAGCAAAATCCATCAAATAATGGAAGAACTAAATTATTATTAATAAAAAATGGCTGTGAGATTTTCAAACCCTTAACACATATATAAAGAGTCAAACGGATTCTAATCAAAGGGAAACCTAACCTAACTTTTATAGCAAAATCCATCAAATAATGGAAGAACTAAATTATTATTAATAAAAAATGGCTGTGAGATTTTCAAACCCTTAACACATATATAAAGAGTCAAACGGATTCTAATCAAAGGGAAACCTAACCTAATTTGGTTGAAAAAATCGAATAGAACTCAAAAATTGTAAAAATAACAAAAATGTCCTTAAATTGACATCAAAATGAGATAAATGCTAAAATGGACACCTAAACAAAGGCCATCATTGTAACCTCGTTAAAACTGTCAAAATTGAAAAACACTTTCAAATTGTACTTACTCGCGAGATTCTACTTGAGCTAAATTTACACTCATTTTCATAGTGTTTTTTTTTTTTTTTTATTTGTCTCTGCTCTAACTGTTCCACATCAAATTGGGTGGCACATCCAATTACCATACAAATTCAAATTTTTTTTATCATTAATGTACTGATATGTCTCTGAGTGGTCGTTATTGGAAATGACACAATTAATAATGTTAATACAAAATTTGAAAGGCAATAATTGCACTAATTGGTTATCTGGCAATTTAGCTCAAGATGATGCACTGAATGAACAAAAGAGTCCAAATTAATTTTAGGTTCTGTCCTATATCCGTACGAACAAACTGCGATAGGATCGTGAATGATAAGATATGTATGGCAGAAATATATCATTTAATTAATAATTCAATGTTTTGGCAACATCGAATAAAGCCTACATTGAACCTTACGTTTCGGTGTACATTCCCCTCACATGATGAGAGGGGCCTACGCCCAATTAATGCGCTGAGCCCGCCCCTCATGTAAGGGGTCTGTACATTGAACTACTATGGACATATAGGAAAGCTGTTTTATGTAACTAAGATTTAAATGAGATATAAGATGATAATTTAATGTTTTTGGGTTCTATGTTTTTAAAATTAATTGAGACATATGAGGCATTTGGTCAAATAGATTGCTTTAAGAGTAATGCTATTCATAATTGCTCACTGTAGTAATCGTTCTACGTGACATTCCATATGACGGTTTGTAATTTGATGTATTAATGTAGTAGTTTTTTTCTACCACGTTCTATATGACATTCTATATGGATAAAAACCTACCTTATTCAAGTAGTTTTTTTTTTTTTTTTATTGTTAAGCAACTAATATAAATTATACTTTAATTTATTTGCACTATTAAATTTACAACACTCTCTAGCGAGGTGAAAAATTGATTTAGGTGCATCAAACTTGATAATGCTAGAATAACTTGAAAAAACTATTAGCCTTTTGAAAAAAATGCATTTTTCAACAGAGTTTTGATATCATTTCAGTCACACATTCTTCAATAAAATAATTTTACACGTAAATGCAAAATTTTTCCTTATTTTTTAACCACATATTTTTCATTAATATGTTATTCAAAAATTCATTCTTTTCCTAAAAAATGGGCTCAATATCCTTTTTAAATTGAAACTCCAATTATGATTTTTTTTTTTTTTTTTTAAGAGATTCTCAACCTTATACATGAATTTGGTGTTCATGGGTCTATATTGGATGAGATCGTAGTCCGTAGATAATCTAATTAAAGTGTCTAGGATCTTTTACGTGGTCTCTTTTTCGAGTACCATTCTTATTAATTGCTTTAATTTTTCTACCAAGTGTGTAAAAATAAACAAGCAAACAACCCCATCCTAACTGATCCAATCCCTCATTGTAGTTCTTCATTCTATAATTAAAGCATCCATCAATATATCAAGAAAAATTGAACAAGAACTCAAATGCTCATCCACATAATATAAAAGGGAACATGCTAGTTGTAACCATAGCAGTGTCCACATTCTCACATGGAAGGGGACCACTTCAGATAAATTATATTTTATTCGAAATGTGCCATTCTTCACATGAGAGAAGTGGACACTGTTATGGATAACCTAATGTACATGTTACATAACACGTATAAAAACTCTACATGCAATTTCCATAATTTTCTCATTTCAACTATTAAGATGCAAACGAACAAAATTTAAAAGAAAAAAAAAGGCTGTTTATAAAACGTTGAACTACATTTAGTCCATGTTAAGTGTGGATTAAAATTCTAATTAAAATCTAAGTCAAAATTAATAATTATTGATTTTATCAACTTTTAAACTATATATTTTATCTACTTTTTTCGAAATTTATAAAAAATATGATTTCTAACTACACCAAACAAAGAATTAAATTTTAACTTCCTATTATAGCCCAACATGTGATCTTAAATTGTACGGCTAATTACTGCTTTTGAACTTCTGGCATTTTTCATTATCGTTCACAAATCGTAATTCGGCCAAATCGTAATTCGGCCCGTAAAATTTGTTGAAAAGACAAATTCATTGTCAACTTTAAATAAAAATTTTAATATAGAAATGAAAAAAATAAAATAAAATAAAATAAAATCTTCTCCTCTTCTCCTTCCTACCACGCAACCTGCTGGTATATCTACGCAACAAAGAATCACTATACTAATGGAACTGTGAGGAGGCTTTAGAAAATGACGTATTCACGTACTCCCTCACCTCCCTGGCTATCACATTCCTCATGGCATCCCAAAATCCATCTTGAGAACTCTCCGGCCGCATCTCCGGCATCCCATCGCCACCAGTCCCCGGCGGTGCCAATGTTAATGCTGTCATAGGATCATTATAATCATCAAACCCACTACTCATTGGACACACCCCAGCATTATTAATAATCTGATTATGTTTTCCATTATTAGATCCAGATGCAATATCTTTTACACAATCCATAGACTGTTCTTGAATCTGTTTTTGCAGAGATTTTCTTTTTAATGTTGAGTTCCAATGGTTTTTCACAGCATTGTCGGTTCGACCAGGCAGCAACCGAGCAATGGTAGCCCATTTGTTTCCGTACCTCGAATGAGCAGCCAAAATGGTCTCATCTTCTTCCGCCGTAAAGGGACGGCGCTCAACGTTTGGGCTGAGCTGGTTGCACCACCGGAGTCTGCACGACTTTCCAGATCGTCCCTTTATGTATTTGCTTATCAAGGACCAATTACGTGCCCCGTATTGGTCCACCAGTCGGGTCAGGATATTGTCCTCTTCGGCACTCCATGGACCTCTAATTCTTTCTGAAATGTGCAAATTCCCTGAAGTTTTGTTCCCATAAATTAAAGATTCAGATGACTCTGAATCTGTAGAAGAAGAACTAACTGATGGAGAACGATTTAATGCTTCCATCTTCCAAAAAGATAAAAGATAATATGGAGAATGAGAAGATTTGAGAGTGTCTTGAGTGATTTTTAGAAGACACGGCAAGTGGGTTTCAGAGATATGAGATATATATAGACATAAGGTTGGAGTGGGGATTCTTGGAAGCTTCCTCGTGTATGCGAAGAACTCTACAATTTGTGTGTCATGTTTGGACTATAGACAATTAGGGGTTGAGTGAAGAGGGAAGTGTATAATACAAGAAATTACGTGTGCACTTATAGGTCTAAACTTAGGTCGGGCTGTCACGGTTAAGTGGTTCTAATCTAGTATACAGCAATTAATTGCTGTTAGAATTGCACCAAATGCTGTCGTGGCAGTAGCATACGGTGCATCTTGTCTTTCTTTTTTTTTATCCATTAGCCAATGAATTGCTGTCAAGTGTCATCTGTATTAATTATGACAGTCATTTTCTATACATATAACAAATCTGTCTTGTATAAGGTGTCTGCATACTTTTTTTTCATCGTTTTCTTAAACAAACTGTAGAAGATATTAAAAAATATATAATAAAAAGTATGGACTATATTGCACTTTTCTTTTTTCTTTTTTTTTTAAAGGAATAAAATATGAAATCAAATAAAGATGAAAGTATAAACCAATTTATAAATAATTGTGCTTTCTTAATAAGGTAGTCCTTTTAAGATGAAATTCTAAATCTTAATATTATATTAGAACCCATTAAACTCCAATAAACAATTCAATTGAATTAAAATTCAAAAAATGAGCATATAAATTTCAAAATTGATCTGTTCAAACGGACCACAATCTTGCAGGACATGTTGAGAGATAAAATTCGACATTGACTGAAGATAAAAACATAAATCAACTTATAAGGAATTATGCTATTCTTTTTTGACATGCTCCGTAAGATGATAACTCGTTTGAAAATATATAAAATTCGACATCAAATAAAAATGAAAACATAGATCAACTTATAAGAGATTGTGCTACTCCTATCAACTTATAGTCGACTAGCAAAAAGTGAAAATCGTGCTGATCATAACAAAATTAAGAAGGGTCGACCCTCTTCACAGCTGGGTATGCACTTTTGTCAACGAGGTAGGGCGGGTTGGTTCTTGGAAGCAATTGAGACATCAAGTGTCAAGCTGCATTTTGTATTATCTAATCTGTATATACATGGTGGTGTTCGGTCGTTATCAGAAATGCGACATATTAAATAATATTACGAAGTTTGAAACTGCAATAACTGCACTAATTGGTTATCAGGCAATTCAATTCAAGAAAATAAATTGAATTAGGTGAAGAATAAATAGTTTCGTGGTCTAGATTCAAAGTTTTAATCATTGGAAAATATTTTAGGTTCTGTCTTATCACCGTACAACTACGTACCTTGTTCCACTGTTTCGTAAAGTGCATATTTTATTTTAAATTAAAAGTCAATAATTAATTTTAATTACACAATTTATGGAATCCACAATTTTTCAACCACACATTTTATCAATTTTTATCAAAATCTACTAAAGATCTGATCTTAATCACCATTAAAAAGAGGCTAACTGAGACGAGGCATTTGGATTAATAGATGGTTTTTAATATAATTTAATCTTGAATTATATAGGTTTAATTCAGCCACTATTTGAAAATCGTACTTTCAAACTATTTTTTCTATATGAATATTTTCAATCACACATTCACACAATAATAAATTTTACACAGAAGTCTAGTCTGTCCCATTTAGGTTAATAACTATGCCTTAAAAATTTAAACACTCGCTCACAAAGGAATACATTGAACTCTATATTGTCAAAAATGATTAAAGAAGAAATTTGATTTCAGATTTTTTTTTTTTTTCACAATCAAAACACAAAACATCATCAATGCCATAGTGATTAAACTCTTTAACTTATGACTCGTTTGGCATAACTTTTGCTTCTTATAAAAAAGTTTTTGAAGAAAACTACCTGAACTTATATTTAAAAACACTTCTTATTTCGAAAGTACATTTAGAGGAAGTCACATCGAACTAGTTCTATCTAAATACTCTTTTAATTACCAAAAGCACTTTAACAAAATTAGTCAAACGGATCCAAAGTAGTATCTGTGTCTCAAAAGCTCTTTTTAACTTTTCAAAAGCTATGTCAAACAGACACTTATATATTTTGTTCGAGTTAGACAAAAATTATGGATACTTTCATTGAAGTGTTAATGGTTTTAGCTTGATGTCTCTTTCAAGTGATATATACATTTTTTAAGTCGCTTTTATTTTTCTATGGCATCCGAAAAAACGAACAAGAGCATAAAGAGGAAAAGAAAATACAAACAACTGAACCACATCATCCATACCCAAGCCGTCCGTCATTATAATTCTTAATTCTATAAATTATAATCATGTGTGTTTAAAACATGACAGTAAAGAAGCAGCTGTTTACCACTGAATTATTACCTAAACCGTGATTTCAGTACAAAACGAAAACAAATCAGAGTTTTCTTTAAAAACTCAAGTGGGTCTATATTTCCCATTAATTTGCAGGCTCATTACAGCTGTGACACTCCACTCGAAATCTTACGGCTATCATTGATGGCATAAAAGTCCATTAATGACTATTGCTATACATAATTAGTGATTACAAAAACAACAATACTGTGTGTACAGAAATTTAGTTCACAGAAATGTCTCAAAATACTCACAACAGGGGGAGGGTTAGTGATTATTTTGGCATTTTTTTACTCCATGAAACCCACCCATGTGAGTGTCTGAAGGAATTCTATGAGGCATCCCTCGTACACATAGCATTTTTTGTTACAAAAATCATCTTACGTGACATAATTTAAGTAATTATTAAATAAAACTATTTTTTAATTAGCTATTAAGATTACGCCATCTAACATACCACGTAGGATAATTATTGCAACTGCTAACTCTGAAGAGTGTTATTCTTAGTCTTCCACCTAATACTTTAGTAGTAAATTAGTTTCCAATTTTTATAGAAGGTTGCTAAGTGTAAGCCCAAGTTGAGTCTTGATCTCTAAGAAGTCGCGTGGGACGGGATACGTCTCATCTCTAGGTTCTCTTTTTCAATTATTCTATTTATACCTCACTTTTTTCACATCAATTTTCACACTCCTCTCACAAAGGTGGGGTCCGCGATTATTTTAATTGTGGACCCCACCCACTTGTATGTGTGTGTGCTGTGAAAATTGATGTGAAAAAAAGTGTACAAGTAAAATGGTCCTCTCTTTTTGACAACAAGCTGCCACTTTTTATCTTTATTCAACTTTTTTACTACTTTTTCCCAGTTCGATGGATTCAAAAGGCAATCATCAATGGCATTTTATTTTATTTTTTTGCTCGACTGAATATTAGGATCATACTGATAAGACATCAAACAAATTAAGCAGATCTCTAATTTAATGAATCAAGCAAAATATAAAATGCTCGATGCTCTACCTCAATGAAAAACGTAGTCACAATTGTGCTATAATGCATCTACAATACAAACTAATAGTCCAATACGCCCCCCAGGGCACATCCAAGTTGGCGGAACAATCACATTGGGGGGCTCTGGAACCAAGTCTGGGGAGTTCGATTCCTGGTGGGAACCTTTGATCCAATAAAGGAGGAATTATTGGTGGATTAATCACCATGGAGGAGGCTTCCTTTGGGGAAGGAGTAAAAGCCATGTGGGAACCTGGGAACCAATAAGGGCACATCCTGCGATTTACCTCCCTGAGCAGCTGAGGGGCCGGAGGTTCAGGGACGAGGATATATAGTTTGGCGCAAGCTGGGACACCTCGTTAAAAAAAAAAAAAAAAATAGTCCAATACTATAAAAGTTGTAAGTGTGAAGATTAAACTGCTATTAAAGCAATAGATTCGGCACCAGTGGTGCATTTTTATATTTAAATAATGATGGCAAAAATTAACCAGATTTGACTATAACTACAACGGCCTCCACGTCAGATGGGACCCAGCACCAGCCTGGAAGAATCTCACGTGATTTGATTTCGAATTCGGCTTGACTTTCGAGCGTCATCTAGGAGGAAGAAAAAGTGTCGGCCCCACTCGCCGTTAACGAGCGTGTGCAACCGCGCCAATGTCTTTTAAAGTGATGATGTGAGCCATGCGGCTTATATCAATTTGAATAAAACTAAAATTCTAAATGGATTAAAAACGAGTTTTATATTGGATAATTTTATGGAGAATGTTACCATTTTTGTTAAAATGGCAAATGTACTGAGCGTGACCTTGTCGGGCTCAATTAGAATTTGAATGTATTTGTAATGTTATAAATTAACATCTCTATTATTTAGATTGAACTTGAAATTATTTGTATATATTTATTTTATGTTTGATATAAATTAAATTTAAATTTAAGTCAAAATTAATAATTAACTTTAATAACATATTTCAAGTACATTCAATCAACTTTTAACAAAATCTACTAAATCACTTTACTTTTGAACCTAGTCAAGTTTTTTGCCAGGGTTAATATCAAATTTTCTACCGTAGTACCCAAAAAATGGGTTAGTGATTAAATCCATAAAAAAGGACAAACTCGATTCAACAAATTAGGTAAATTCACAATCAATTTGGATTTCTTTGCCTCTTGAAAATATTGAATTTCAAATATAATTGAGCCAAGTTGATTAGCGCATCTTCTTCTTTAATTCCTGTATCGATTAATTATAATCACTTTACTTTTGAACCTAGTCAAGTTTTTTGTCAGGGCTAATATCAAATTTTACCCGAAAAATGGGTTAGTGATTAAATCCATAAAAAGGGACAAACTCGATTCAACAAATTAGGTAAATTCACGATCAATTTGGATTTCTTCGCTTCTTGAAAATCTTGAATTTCAAATATATTATTGAGCCAGGTGGACTAGAGCATTTTCTTCTTTAATTCATGTACCGATTAATTGTAGTCACTTTACTTTTGAACCTAGTCAAGTTTTTGCCAGGGCTAATATCAAATTTTTTACCGTAGTACCGGGAAAATGGGTTAGTGAGGTTAAAAAATAAATATGGTATTTTTGCAAAATCAGAAGGGGTTTGTGTGTTACGCACATTCGAGGAGGCAGGTGCAAATGTGCAATGATTGTAGTATGAACACTGAGCAGACTGAGGCGCATGACAGCCGCCCACGTGATTTCAGCCACACGAGCATAAAGCAGTTGGGCAGTTGATATTTCATTGAGTTACATTACAGCTGTATTTTGGC